AAAAAAAAAAAAGATGTGAATATGTTGATGTGGTTTTGTTTTTTTATGGTCATTGACTCTAAACTATATAGACTATGTAACAAATAGATAAAGGCAAAATGGAGCCAATCTGTCGGTGCACTATTAAAGAAAAGTATTCTGTGTGCTACTGAAAGATTTTGTACATTCTTACCCATTACATTTAATTGTGATTCTTTGTAAAATGTGTGTTTGAGTTCTCGCTTTATTTTTATTTGCAGAAGAATAGTTTTTTGTACTACAACTCTTATCTATAAAAAAAAAAAAAGCCTAAAATATTTTACTGGGCTTCCCAGAAAACTATTATTATACCTGGTATTATCTGAAATTATACACATCTGTAATTTTCAAACTTTCTAAAAACATTTGTAAGACTGTTTAAATGTTAAGTCAGGTGCACTCATGCCTATAATCCAAGTGACTTTGAAGTATTCGACAAGAAGATTGCAAGTTTGAGGCCAGCCTCGGCAACTTAGAGAGATCCTATCACAAAATAAAAAATAAAATTATTCAGCCATTCTGAATAATATCAAGCAAGTGGTAGATGGCCCCTGAGTTCAATCGCCAGTTCCACCACTGCCCCCCCCCAAAAAAAAGCCCTAAATGTTTAAAATCCCAATTTTTTTTTTTTAAAAGATGGCACCAGAACTGCTTATTTGCCACAAGGTTGAAAAACACCAATCAGTTTGACACTGCCCCCCTCCCCACTATCAGCCAAATGTATTCAAGGGAGCATAGTTTGAAATCCCTGATCTAAGTAGCATGATATTGAAAATTACATTTTCAATTTCATGGTGAAATTATATACCAGAGGTATATCACAACTATATTTAATTTTTATACTGTTTCAAATCTAAGATTTTTCCATCTTTAATCATTACAACCACAAACACATGTATTAAAATGTAGTAAGGTCCCAGAGATTTAAGATAGCAATAACAAAGGGAATAGGCAAATGAGAATATTTTCCTCACCCTCAAAGCTCACCACTAAGARTCTGATAATTATTATCTTAAAGACAGAATGTTTTGAATTGCCATACTTGTGCAGATGAATTTTCCTTTCCAGTATTTTTTACTTTAATGTAGTTTGGTGATTGACAGATCTCAATGTATATAAATACTTTATGGAGGTTTTTTTGTTTGTTTTGCAATAGTAGAGATGGAACCCAGGGCCTTATGACTTCTAGGAAGGTTCTGTACTGAACTACATCCCCATCCCTTTTCATTTTTTATTTTGTGAAAGGGTTTTGCTAAATTGCCAATGCCAGCCTTGAACTTGTGAATCTCCTGTCTCAACCTCCCACATAGTTTAGATTACAGGTGTACACCCAGCCTTTATGAAGTTTTATGTACAAAACCATGTGTACTGTTATTTTATAGGCAAAGTAATTGATTTTCAAGGATAATCTTGATGGATTTTCAGACTTTGTTTTATGTATCCAATTAAAACAATGCCCAGAGTGAGAAGTAATATTCTGTATAGCCTCAAAAAAAAAATGTACAATAGAAATTTGGTTTGTACCAAATTTATGTCTTCATTATCTAGTGATTAGCTTTATAAGATAGATTTTTAAAACTCTCCTTGTTAACTTAATTTTTTTGTAATACAATAGGCTTTTATAATGTGAGCTTACTAATATAGAGCTTTTGTTCCTTCAAGAAATTTTCCTTTTTACATTTTATTTTGGGGGGAGGTTATAAAATACACTAAGCACCCATTGCATATATAATCCTAGATACTATTTTATAGACAAATCAGAGCTATTTCCCTTAAGTGATTTAGAATCTACCTAAGGAGACATGTCTAATATATGCAGATCTAGAGAACAGCTAATAAAAGAAGAAAGTGCTAGGGAGCACCAAAAAAAGGGAATGTAAATGTAAATTAGCCACAGGAAACTAAATTATAGTGGAATTTTTCAGAATGATGTGTTTTTTACTCCTTCTCTCCCTACCTTCTCCCCTTCCACCTCTCCCTCCTCCCACTTCCCCTCTCTCTGCACCCCCTCCACCCATTGAACCCAGGGGCACCTTACACTGAGTTATATCCCCAGCCCTTTTTATTTCTTATTTTGAGACAGGGTCTCATCAAATTGTTTAGGGCCTTGCTAAATTGCTGAGGCTAATCTCGAATTTTGCAATCCTCCTGCTTCAGCCTCTCAAGTCGTTGGGATTACAGGCATGTGGCACCATATCCCATTCCTGGAATATTTTTTATTTCTTAATAATTATCAGTTAAACAATATATAGTGTTCATTGTTGCAGGGCCTGACCTAGGACCCTCATGGAGGAATGCTTATCTTGCTCATTGTGCAGCAGGAAATCCTAACATAGAATACTATGTTTTGGGACAAAGTGCTGTCAGAACATGGCAAGCACCATGTCCTTGATCCTTTGACAAGAAGTTATTCTCCTGTTGGTACAAGGTCAGCCCACGTGGCAGTTTCTGAACTCTTGGTGTCTGGACTCCCTTAATATGATATGTTGTGTATCACCTCTGGCCTATCATGACTGTTATATGTAAATTGGCACATACCTACTATAAAAGCTATTTTTGCTGTGCGATAAGGCAGACACAGTTCTCTGAAACCATCTCCAGAAGGGTTTCTCCAGGCCCTCAAGCTCCCCACAGTCAGAGCTGGATTGGCAGGCTCCTTAGCAGTTCATAGCCATGGTACAATGTCTAATGGTTACTTTCTCAAAATTCTGTATTCTTTGTAATCAAACAGTATCTGATTGTCACCCTGGGACATACCAAGAAGCCCAAAGGTTAAGTTTGGAACTGTCCCGCAGAAGACTTCTGTAAACAGCCCAAAGGAATATTCTTAAGTCCTTATATGAAAAGGCTTACTCATTTTATGCATAGAAGAATATTTTATGTGAAATTTAGCCATKAATAGCACATTTAACATGCTTGGTCATCTGCTGTTTACTCTCGGGAAGTTAGAGGTAGTTAGAAACGCAAGGATTCACAACTGATAGCCCAGGGGAGGAGGCATTGTTCAAAATAGACTGAAGATCTTAAGCAGCATCTAGTTCCATTTAGAAGAAGAGCAACCCAACCTCTGTAGACTTTGAGATTTTTTGCTTTAAGTTGATACTAAATACTGAATCATTAAAGAAATGTTAAATTAGAATATTTATACTGCATTTTAAAAGTATGAAATGTATATTTTATAAGCATCYTTTATATCCATAATACAACTACTTCTTAACACTGTGCTAGGTTATTCTAATATTTTTACTTATATTAACTAATTTATCTTTAATCCTGGAAGGCAAGTTTTATTATGTGCRTTTTACATATGATAAAATTATAACTCATACTGAGTAAGCAAGATGAATTTCATGGTTAATGAGTAGTTGGAATTAGGATTGTGAACTTGGATCTGGATAACGCTAAAAATACATGCTTTTAGCCACCATATGTGGTTCATCCGTACAAATTAAATTATTTTGAGCTTTACAACAACTATCCTGTACTTTAAGTAAGCTATTATTGGCCCCATTTGAGGCCCAGAAAAAGTTAAGTAGCTTAAATAAGATTGTATAGCTATTAAGTAGCAATAATAGGATTTCGTTGTTAGTGTTGATTTTTTTCCATGCCCAGAAATTGTACTAATGARAAATATTTTCAATAATGGATAAATTAGGTTTTACTAAAATAATTTGAGGTTTGTTTGACTTTCTCCTTTAACTTTATTTACAGTATTGGCTCTAATAGCCAAGTTTTTCCTACAGGTTTCTCACAAAGCTAAATGAACTATGAAATATCAGCAGTTTTGTCATCCTTTGTTGAAAGATAATAAAAGCTAACTATTACAGAAGACATAGTCGTGCCAGGCACTATTTTAAGCACTATGTAGGCATGAATTCATTTAATTCATACARTTGCTTTGTGAAGAATATGTTGTTGCTAGCCTTTTCAATGAGAAAAACTGAACACAAACATATTCCTTTGGCCTATTTACAGAAGTCTTCTTTCAAACTGAACACAAAAATTTGCCCAAGAAAATTCAGTATTTTGGCTGTGGAATCCAGATACCTTATCTTCCATATAATATATGATGCCTTCCTGAAAAATAAACTTACGAGTATAATCTGCATACTATGACCCTTCTAATTAATATGTGTTTTATTTTTTTAATTGAGAATAAGGACTGACCTTATAAAGGAGTGAAGAAAAACACGTGGTATTGAATCAATGATTTATTTTGGCTTGTGTAATTAAGTGAAAAGCTGTAATTTTGTATTTGTCCACAAGATGGTGAAATTCTCATTAGTTTTTAATTTCCTGAAATTCATATAAATCATTAATTTATAATCTGCATTTGGCAGTATTTATTACAAACACTTTAATTCCTTTATAGCCCATCTGCTGGCAAGGCCAAGATTAGAATGGCTCACAAGAGAATCATGATTCTGAATCACCCAGATAAAGGTAGGTAGGATTTCTATTTGTCATAATTTGTGGATCAGAATGTRCTGCAAATTCCTTTCAGTTTAGTCAAACTCATTACAAATGGCATATAGTTGAGTTAGAAGTTTATGTGTCACATGTATTGAGATGATGTTGATAAAATAAGCAGACCTTTAGTGTGGAGTTCAGTGACTTCCAGTAGTGGATTCGTATGATTGGCTTTTAAGACCTTCCTTACTAGCATTTACACATGAGTACCTAAATCTGGTTGATACTTTACCATTTTGATCAAGAAAGAGAAAACATGATTTGGGCACTATGAATTATAGATATTTAACATCACACAAAAGCACAAGATTTAGAGGATCTCCTCTATATCTCTGAATGGAATATATTATAGAAGATTCTGAATTTTTAAATTTTATTCTGGAATACTCTGAGGCTGAGCCATTTGTTTTTAACTGGCCAGGTTTATAATGTAAATTTATTTTACAGAAAGACAATTATTATAACTTTAACTACACTACAGCTGCTTGATAGAGAAAGCCCATATGTTCATTACTGTTTCTGCTTTAAAATAACAGATGGTAGAAAGTTGCACTGTATTTCAGAAGTCAAAGGGTGGGGTTGCGAGTGAAGGGTTTCTTGTATTTACAGACTTTCAGTTTTGTAATTATTTAGAAAAAAAAATTAAAAACAAATTTTGGATTCCTATTCATCCTGACACCAAAATATGGCATTCTTTTTCAGCTTTCTCCACTTAATTACTTACTATAAAAATTCTTTTCACTGAACATCATCTCTGTTGGTTTTTGCACTTGCTTTCTTTAGTGTGAATAAACAAGAGTATAAACTTTGGAAAGAGGGTTTGCTTAAAATTTTTAAACAGCTTCAATAGTTACTGAAAGATCCACTCAACTAATTTACTTTGCATTGTACAGTTTCAGAGTAATTGAGAAAGAAGTGTGTTTAAGTGCCTCCTTGAAGCCTTCTGGCTCCTAAACATCCTCTGTTCCTTGCAGGTCAAGTGAATGCCCTTGGCTCTGATTGATTGCAATAGGATCAAGCACTCATGTCTTTCAGCTGATTGACAAGTTGTTGATTGTGCCTCTTAGCAAGGAGGCAAATTCTAAAATGTATTTGAGAGAACATGTATATTAGGAGCCAGTGGTGTTTAAAGAATTACTTGATTCTTTTTTTTTGAGATAGTGTATTTATTAGAGATGGGAATGTTGACGCTGGCATACTTACTAATATCTTCTTGTCTGACCCMGTGTGGGTAGCTGGGTGTGAGTGAATGGACCTGCAAGCTGGAAGCCAGCATTGGTCTCTGGTTTGTCTTCCAGCAAGCATTATGACCTTAAACATTCCCTTAACCTCTCCAAATGTGAGTTTTATCACCTATAAAATAAAGGGATTTATTTATAAAAGGAATTTATTTATAAAGTCCTTTTTGTTTGCACAATTTAATGTAATAATATTTTATATCTACTCAATTAATGAAGAACCTGTACTATATGTTTCTGTTGAGATCACAGTTTTAAGAAAGACACTCTTTATCTTTTCAGATTATTGTACCCTCTAAAAATGTGTTGACATTATAAATATTTTTTCTGTGTAATTGTCCATTCATCCAAAATTTAAAATATTGGAGCTTCAGAAATTTCATGGACTTCCTAAATCCGATCCATATGCTCAGTTAGGAAGTAAATTCTTTTCTGCCTCTGCTCTAAGTATAAAGTATACTGAATTAAGGGATATTGGACCCTAACTGTATATGAYGCAGTTGGAATGATATAAATCTGAAAGTGTGTTTTGAGGAGAAAGATTGTTTTATTTTGAATGGGAAGAAGATAACAGATTTTAAGAAAAATGTGTCATTGTCCTTGGATAGAGAAAGCCGGGAGTATTGAGGGGAAAATGAGAATGGACAACTCTTAATTTTGCCCCCTTTTAAATAATTTTTCCCCATATTTGGTTTGGCCAGCTCACCACTAAGTCTCACAAGTAGTTATAGGTAGTTAAATTCTTTACCCAATGCTTCTGAAATTTAAAAAACTGTTACTTCACCCTATCGTTAATAAATTTTCTGTTGGTTTTGCTACCAGCTGGTAGAATAAATTTGGAACTACAAATGTGTGATMAACTATAATTTGTTACACATTTCATTATCAGGTTGTACAAAGAAAGTGACACCAGAAAATTAAGTGTGGGAAATGGCTGAAAATAAATTTTTTGCAGCTAGTTTTAAATGAGCATTCAGATGTGTTTTGGTAAAAATTATAATTTTGCTGTTTCAACTTAGTAAGATAAAAAATTAGATTGCTTCTTTCCTTACGTTGTCAAAGAAAGAGGTTGTTATAAAAATCAGTGATTTAATATTAATAACTGATGAGGGAAGGACAAAGCAGGTAAATTTGAAAAACTGTAGATTTCTTACAGGCTGTTTAATCTAGTGCTAGTTTTTCTATTCATGCCAGCCTACAGTTTGTTACCTATGTGTAATAAGTTAAAAACATTTAGAAACCTTTATAATTTGACATACCTGTGATGTTCAGATGTGTGATACATGTGTTGGTCCACTACAGGTTGAAAATTAAAGAAAAGTACTTCTTCACCATGGTTTGAGAGACTCTGATCTAATCAATGCTGCCTCCTGAATCAGGGCTTTGTGCTCCATCAGCGGAGAAAATGGCCCATTAGCTTTTTTTAAAAAAAAAAATTTAGTAGAGGGCTTCTCAGTCTATAAGGCAAGCCCACTCCACTGGTAGCAGCTCTGCCTAATAGAAAGATGTTTTCTATGTTTAAATAAAATCTGCCTGCCTACAGTAGAGATTCTCAGTGTTTTTCCATTTATACACTTTTCAGTACTTTCATTCTTCTTTAGTAGTGCTTGAATCAAAATTAAATTAAATATTGGAATTAAACAAGTCAAAGTAAATATGTTTTTGAATGGATTTTTTCCTTGATTACTCGCATTGAAGAAGCAGCTAAGTTTCACATGAATGCCTGATAAAAATATAATACAGTTTATCATAGTATATTACATTTAAAGTATGTGTTATAAATAGAAAAAGAAGAATGTGATTACCAAAAGTCAACATGGAATCACTAAGAAAAAGTGCCTAATTAGCTTGATTTTCTTTTTTGATAGATGTACTACTCTTTTTCCAGAGGGCTTATCTTTTCTCCCTTCATTTTAACATTTTAATTAGATTTAAGGCTTTGTATTTTAGTTACTTTTTGTTGTTGTTAAAGAGTTCATTATGGGTTTGATCCTCAGCACCACATACCAACAAAGATGTTGTGTCCGCCAAGAACTAAAAAATAAATATTAAAAATTCTCTCTCTCTCCCTCTCTCCTCTCTCACTCTCTCTTTAAAAAAAAAAGATTAAAAATAAAGTACATGATTTGTTTATCTTTATAACCTATAAATAAATAAATAATTAGGAAAAAGGAAGAATTCAAAAAATTGTAAACAAAACAATTGGAAATGATAACAAATACATGAAATGATCATATTAAAAATTTACTGATATCAAACAACCCAAAACTGTTTTATTTTTGTTTTTCAAACATTAGTTCTTTAACATCTACCATGTGTCAAACATTGTTAAATCATAAGACTATATAATTTTGATATAAGACATAGAGCATGCATTGTAATGAAGGGGCAAGCAAAACCCAAGAAGCCCTGTTTCAGGTTGTAATGCCTGCAGTTGAGTCTACTGGCCTAAAATGTAGAATAATATGAGAGAGGCACCTTTATGTAGGGTGACTGGAAGGGAAGTGGTCTCTGCAGAGACCTACAGAATACAAAAGAGCCAGCTATGTGAAGAGTGCTAGGAAAGTATAAGTGCAGAGGCTCTAGACAGGAAAGAATTTAGTGTGCTTAAAGAAGCTAAAGGGTGCTGGGGGGGACAGGGAATCTGAAAAAAAAAAAAAACTAGTGTGATGGAAGTGTAACAGACAAAAGGAGCTGTAACATGAAATGAGATGATGCCCGGGTTTTGAAAACTAGGTATGCATTATGACAATGAGAACTGGTGGTTCTATATAGTATGTGAACTTGTTCTGTATTCAAAGGAAAGTTACTTCAACTTTTAAGCAATTTACCTTTTAAGAAACTATTTCTTATTCTTAATCTAAATTTGTCTATTTATTTATTAAAATATTAAACTTGTTATGTTAATATCAATTACATGATCCTTATGATAATTTCTGTATCCCACAAAATTTTTTAATGTGAGTCAAGTGGCATTGTTTTATATTTTTGCACATCTCTAATAGCTGGCTTAATTGAAAACACCTTAGAGTCTCATATCAGTTTCTCCAYTCATTCTCTTATGATATGTTGTTTTGTTTAAACATAAAGAATATGTGACTTCACACAAGTAGGTAGTTGAGAAAGGGAAACAGTATTTTGTCTTTTCAGATAGTTGGCAGCATTTGTTCCTACTAAACCAGAACTCAACAAGTGGTAGTTTCTTAAGATAAGTTATATGTGGAATCTGAAACAATACCAGTGAATTTTTAAATTCGTTTTAGGTTACATTAAAATCTACTGGTCTATCATGCAGTTTGAATTAATTTTTTTTACCCAAATGTGATTTTGTAACATCCTTGATCAGTCATTCAGAGAATATTATTTCACTTAGGGAGTTATAGATCATCCAAATGTTAATTCATTTCATTGTGTCAATATTTCTCAAGATGTATTCCCTCCATTAGCCTTAGCATCCCCTGGGAACTTACTAGATATGCAAACTTCTGGGTTCATCCTAGATCTACTGAATTAGAAGGTTTGGGGTTGGAGCCCAGCAATTTGTATTTTACAAGCCTTCCAAATAATTCTTTTTTTTTTTTTTTTTTTTGAGAGAGAGAGAATTTTATTTTTAGTTTTCGGCAGACACAACATCTTTGTTGGTATGTGGTGCTGAGGATCGAACCCGGGCCGCACGCATGCCAGGCGAGCACGCTACTGCTTGAGCCACATCCCCAGCCCCCAAATAATTCTTAT